ATGGGGTGTCCACTATTAGCAGCCACTTAGGGGCCTAGGCAAAAGAGAGTAGCAGGGAGCAAGGGGTATGTTCTGCCAGGGATTTCAACCAGATGTTTTCAGGGCCAGGAAAGGAAACAAATGTGGTAGCTGCTGAATGTGAGGCAACAGGGAGTGGTGGGGACTGTGGCTAACTGGAGACACATGTCTGCCTAAAGCTGGCAACTGCTACTCAGCTGCTGCTGCTTGTTACCAGGCAGGAATATGAGCTCAGTAGTGCCAGCCTTCCCATTTTTCAAGAGAAGCTAGAAATCTGGATTTTTATGGGAAACCTACCAATTTTAATATTATCTCAAAATTTTTAAACACTACATACACCTTTAATGCAATTCAGCTGGCAGAAAGCTGATAATGTCCAGCCTCTGGTCTGGACATTAGAAACTTTCTAAAAGATGGATGTCTCAGGCTTCCTTCAGTTTCTCCCCTTTTCCAACACCCGCAAATGACCTTCAACAGCAGTCCCTCATGACAGGCCAGCCACATGCTGTATTCTCTCAGTGCCTAGGTCAGCATCGAAGTGTGCACAAGGCCTGGAAAAGCACTGGCCCTGGGGAGCCCAGGCCCTGAGGAGGCCCGGCTGGGGCCCCTCCATAGCTCTCCTCTTCTGCCCCCTCCCGCACCTTGCGGGAAGCTGAGGCCGCTGAAGCCCTCGTTCCTCAGGGAGCTGCAGAGCCACATGGAGGGGGAGAGCCTGTACGTGGTGTCAGAGGCCGCAGAGACCGTGCAGGACACACTTCAGAGCCTCGGCTGCCCAGAGGGAGCAGGGCAGCTGTCCTTCGTCAGCCCAGGCCATGTAAAGGTTCAGAGCGTGCCCTGGGTGCCACGGTGGGTATGGGGGTACTGAACACCACTGACGAGCCCAGCCCTGCCATCCTAATTCTCAGCAAACTGCTGCCCCACCTGAAAGACGCTTCATCTGGAAGGGAATGGAGTCCCTGGGTGCTGGTCTCCAGGCCCTTAGTTCTGGCAGCACATTAGAATCACCTGGATAGGCCTTTTGCTGGGCTTTTTGGG